TCTAAGTGTAGCCCTGTGATAGACTGGTGACTTGTCCAGGTGAACCTGTCTTCACCCTGAGTCAGCTGGGATAGACTTCAGCCCCCATGACCCTAGTGAGGATTAAGCGGTGTATAGATAATGGATGGATGGATGTTTTACTTTTGTTACATAATAAAGAAGACTATGTGGTCTAATTTGGGCTTCTTTTGAATAGTTTTCACGTTCTCACAGTGCTTACTTATACTCATTTTTCGGTGTGAACAAAAGTTGAATATCAACGTTGGTAATATCAGTTGTCTTTGATATCAGAAACCTTAATATCGGCTATTGGTATCGTCCAGAAATTTTAATATCGTGCATCACTACATATAATTATATATATGTATATATAGCTCGATGTATCAAAGACCTTCTGAGATAACATTTCATTTTAAAAAACAGTTTTTTGTTTGTTTGTTTGTTTGTTTGTTTTTAAAAAACAATTGGCCTGATAAAGTTCATGGTCTTGATGACGGCCATGATACACAGCCTCATCATTCATTGAATGTTGAAAAGTTTTTCATTGAAAGTTTACAGCATCAACGACTCAGTCATATTCTACATTCAAATCTGACGCTTCATCTTTGTACTCTCAGTCTGTACTACAGCTGCCCTGACAAAGTGTGTAATGCTGCATGCAGTGTCATACAACTGGGACATACCACTTCAACATAATACTGAACCTTAAGCTTTGACCATCTTGTGGATATATCCATCGCAGTCTGTAATGTGAAATAAGCTGCCATCTGTCTGTGCACTCTCCACTGCTCAAGCTTATTCATATTACCACAAGACCACAGATATAATATATATAAAAGAGTGTGGAAGCTGCCATGATGTCACTGTGGACTACCGTTTTTGAGTTGTCAAGTTTGAAGTTTGGCCATTGCAGTCTTGGTCTTTTAAAATTAAACATGCGAAGAATTTATCTGACTACAACACAACACACTCCGTACACTAGCGACTCAATCCAGAAGGTAGCCACACCCTAAAACATACTCTGTTTTATTGTTTATTTTATCCTAAATGGGACTATAATTCACAAAAAGAGCATAACGCTGTATTAAAGGAGACTATAAGACTAGTTTGAAAAATGGTTACTAAGGTAACAATTCAAGTGAGAAGTAATTTCCCCAAAGACTTCTATACAATCAGACACATTTTTGGAACCAGACGTATCACCCCCTGCGGTTTGTTAGAAAGAATACAGGATTGAGGCACTTACTTTTCAGACCGGGATGCTTGGTCTACCTTTTATATACATTTATGAGACACTGGGATAAATGTTCCACTGCACAGGATTCAGGGTCACAATGTCTAAAAAAGTATGCTGGCTTGCATACTGCAAAATGTTGCCATATGTGGTAGGGCATCCTGGTATTTTAGCATGCCATATTTGACATATTTACTGGGACATGATAAATCTTTTTCTAACATACTACTGTATATAGTGTGGTAGTATGGGCACTGGAGCGCACCCTCAGTTATTGTTGACTGCTGGCTAGGAGAGCGCCCTCTGCTGCTGCCATCCAGACATAAAAAAGCCACTTTAAATCGGACCCTTTTATCACTGAACACTCACTTCCATTGGTTCAAACGACAGCTCACGTTAGCCATCATTTTAATTCAATGTTAATTTAATGACAACACATGTCACATACACAGTCTACAACTGAAGCGAGTACAACTTGTGCAAAATTACATAAATGTCACATGGTTCACGTCTGAATAATTGCATTATTTCGAAGATGAACAGTGTTTCCTCTTATGAACAATCAAAAATACTTAAGCAAGACTGTAGTGAAAATACAAGCCCCAAAGTAGAAACTCAAAGCAAGAGAAGTGAATACACCTGTGATCACTGACACACAAGCTAGAAAACCTTTTATCACTGAAAGTAAATTTGGCACAGCTGCGATTTCCAATTAGCGTGATTGCATAAACATGGTTATAAAATGATCTGTAGTCACAACAATTTTCTCAGTTTTTGGAACACTGGACTGTGTCTATCTGCATATGCATGATGGCTCGACATGAAAAATATGTAAAAGAAATTTAAAATGATCGTCAGACTTCACAAATTTGGAAAAGTCATTCAAAACATTGTTGCAGCGGTAATCAGGCGAAATAGAACACACCATCGAACTGCTAATCAGAGCCACAGTAGTCATCCTCATACAATGATACCAGAGGCAGTGCGTTACTTTCACAATCTGGCACTGAAAAACAGAGAGGCAAGTGCTTCAGACTTGGCACCAGGGGTCATCAATGGGAATCAGAGTTTTTGTGACAACATGTGAAGAACATTGCATAATGTGTATGTTGGTGTTCAAGAAAAGAACTTCTTTGGTCAGAGGCAACCAAGATATGATTGTTTGTCTCAGATGAGGTCCTACATGTTTGGTGTGAATCTGACCGGGACCACCACAGTGAATGCATAGCCCTGACAGTGAAGCATGAAGGTAGGAGTGACATGATTATGGGGCTGCAAAAGGTGTTGGGGAGATGATATTTATAGACCATAAATACCTGTGGATAAACCACAATACTGGCTGACAAGGTGACCTGCAGTTTGCAGAAGCTTAACAGAAGACCAATGTTCCAGCAGTGATCCGAAGCACGTTTCCAAAATGACACGAGAATTTTTAGTTGCAGTGAGTTGATACGGTGGGACCTGCATTAACTTAACCCTGTTCAGGACTGTTGGACCCCAGGCCATTTGGTTTAGGTGACAGGTAGTATTTTATTATTTTTGAAGAATTTTTTTTCTTTAATATAAAAAGAGGGACATTTGTCGTGCATTTGGAACCAAAAATACATCAACTTATCAGAAAATGTATTTAACATAGTATAAAATGTCCAATGGACCCTGAAAGACCTTCTGCGTACGGCAACATGAAAATCCTGAATGGGGTTAATATAATACACATAAATTGTTTTGTTCTTTTATTTTACACAAGACCAAATACCCTGCTGTTCAGCTTAGAAGAAATGTAATTACTCACAGGTGATACAATTCTGAATCATTTGACAATAAGGTCATATTGCACAGTAGTGTACTCAGTTCTGTTGTGTATTGTGTGTGTGTTTCTGAGGTCAGAGTGTTTCTGTAGTTCAAGTACAACAGGATGAGACTTCAGAGTCACATTCTTCCAGTGAAACTTCCATACAGTAATTTAACAGTTTTCACTATTCGGATGAATAAAAAATCGAGCGTATTAGCTTTGGTTTTTACAGAATTAGACAGATAGATTTAACCAACAGTTAGTTTGAGTATCAGACGAGACACGGCATCAGCAGATAACAAATGTTAAAGGAGAGTTACTACTTAGAGATTCCTCAGTTTCATTCATGCATCATTGCACTCAACTGTGCACCACAGGTTCATCCCTGCCCACATGTACATCGTGATAATCTATATAAGCATATCAAACATGATCAGAAATGGGACCTTTATGAAGAGAAAAATCAAAATAAAGCACATAAACTCACAGTGAGAGAATATCCCAGCATCGCGTTGACACCTCAGCTGCTCAGATATTTTATGAAGGACCCTGTTTGTTGTCGGGCTTGTTGGACTGTTTTTTGTTTTTTTTTTAACTGAATTAGTCTGCTTCCAGTCTTTCTGCTAAGCTAAGCTAAACAAATCATGGACCTCTCTGTGTTGGACACAAAGTCATGAAACAGAAAAAAAAAAAAAAAAAGACCTCTTCGATGCATTGAATTCATTATTTCTTCAAATTCAAATCTATAAACTAAAAACAGCATGAGTTAGAACATAGTCCTCAGTCGAAAGCATTTCAGAAGGAAGCAGAGGAAGAAGCCAGGGACAGAAAACAGATGAAGGCATCAGGTTTTTACAGAGAAACAGGAAGAAATAACCTCAGGCTCCCTCCAAATCATTCTGTTTGTCATATATTCGCACCACTAAATACAAGGTGAACTTTGTCCTCCATCATGTGTCTTCAACTTGTAGAGTGGATGAATAATTTTCTTTTTTATTTGCGTCAAGATATTAAAAGACAGAAAACCTCCCATAGGGTCTGTTGTTCCATCAAAGAACTGTGAAGCTGCAGTGACTTCCATTGCTATTACACCTGACATCCTTAAATTGTGTTATATAGTGTTTAATGTGTAAAAGGAAAACTGAGGAAACTAAATATTTCCATTTGAGAAGCTACTGTTGCTCAATTTTTGACATATTTGTTTAAAAAAAAAAAAGAAAAAAGAAAAAAAAGATTGAGCCTAATTTTTAATACTCGTAATGGTAAGAAAAGCACCTGATGGTTAAGGCGCAGCCCGCAATGTCACCATCTGGACTCCCAGTAGGGAGACCCTCAGTCCGTCCAAACTGACTGCCAAAAACAAAAGACACCGTAGGGTTTAAACAGTTATTCAAACTGTTAACCAGCTGTGAGTTATCTTGTCCCCTGCAGGCCTCAGTTAATGTTCTTGTCTTTATGGCTCTCATTGACATTTTCTTGCGACAGCCTCAGAAATGGAAAGAAGGTAAATTACTGCACTTCTTCCATTATACAGCACCCTTTGTGGCAGGTTTGTACCTTTAGAAGGTCATTTAGAAACTAAGTGTACAAGTCTGCTTTGATGACATTTAAAAGTGTCCCTGTCATGTTTTTTTTTTTTGAGTAATGCATTCTGGAGTACAAAAAATTACTCATCTTAGAAACTTTTAAAAAACAAATGAACAGTTGTCACACGCTGATGTTTTTAAGAAAACTGTGGTTAAACTCATACGTTGTATCTGAAGGCAGAAAGCGCTGGCGGTCCAGCAGGACCTGCAGAGTTCTGAGGACCCAGCAGCTGGACTTTAAACATCTGGCCAGACTTGTTTGGATGGACTCGATTGAGTTTCTGTTGCTGTCCCTCAGGATGAAAACTGAACCCTCGTCGCTCTACATCCTGGAGGAGATTGAGCTGAGGATCATCACGAGAGCAGCTCACGGCCTCCGGCGATGATTCTAGCCGGTCACAGGGACCTGGACCTGCCTGGATGACACCTCTCGCTCTGCGGCGGCGGTCGGGATATTGATGTTGGGGTCATCGTCGACCTGGTAACACTTCCCCAGGTTCTTGATGATGTTGAAATTGGACCGGGCCATTTCTGCCAGGCTGTTCTCCAGAATCCAACCGTCTGATTCTAAGTCCGGATCTCCCAGCCGGAGAACGTTCTCCATGGCTGTCTGCAGGTAGCGGACGCCCGTCAGAACCAGCAGCTGAAGCGAAAAGAAGTGTATTAGTGTAGAAGAAGCTACATGCTAGTAATTTAACAGTGTGTGTTGTTTCCAGATGTTGGAGTACAGACTGCAGATGTTTTGCAGATGTGTTATATTAGAGAGATCAGCACGTCACTGCAACCCTTAATGTGCAATACTTTCCTATGAAGTTTGATAAGTTAACAAATCTGGGTGGAGTTAGAAAGAAGTTACGACACACCAGCTGCTACTAACACACCCCAGCCTCAGAGGTGCAGGTGCATTGTGGGTAATGAAACCTGGAAAGAACGTGTGGGGAAAAATGACAATGATGTCTTGTGTGAGTTCCAGTAGCTTCAACTTACTTTCTCATCACATGAAAATGTTTTTCTTTTAAAGCTCTCGAAGTACAGTAACCTAACGTAACACTGGTCTTTTCTCACTTTGCAAGTACATTAACAGAAATGTGGAATAAATTTAAGTATAATTCTACACTCTGTATTTTCTTTATCCTCATTATACTTTTGTGTTTCTTGTCTTGTTTCTTACTGTGCTTTATTTGTATCAAGTTCTTGTATCTTGTGAATTTCCCCAGTGAGAAATCAATAAAGTTGATCTTCTCTCATCCTAATTCTGCCACATCAGTGTTGATTGTGAGTCAAACAATGTTAAGGGAGAAGAAGAAGAAGATGAATCTTTGGAGTGCTTTGTTAAACCAGATCAAACTGGTCCACAGTGACAGCCTCACAGTTTAGCTGAGCCGACTGCCTCCCGTTTCTTCCTGCTTCCTTTCCTGCTCTGTACACTTGAAGGGGAAACAGATTTTTGCATTTCATCTCCACCTGCATCTGTAGATTTGTATTCTGAGCCAGCAGCCAAACTCTGCCTCTGCAGTACCTCAAACAGCCAGATGAGCAGCACGGTGAGGCCGATGGACTCCATGATGCCGGTGTAGTGGTCCAGCAGGGCCTGTCGGCAGCCTCTCCTCCACAGGTTCTGCTGCTGGCTCTGCTGGTCGTAGTGGATGTGGGCTGTGCGGTTGCTGAGCTGCTGCTGGATGCAGGGCCGAGGGGAGAAGGTGCTGCAGCAGCTGAAGGGAACGCCGTCCATCAGATACTGACCCTCCACGTTACTCCTCAGGCGGCTGCAAGGGAGGAGCAGCTGGATGTTAGGAACAGTAGCTGGTAGTGAAACTCTGACTGGAACTGTAGAACTTGTAGAAAGTTTTAATGGTGATTGTTTTGAAAAATTAATTGTTTTTTCACAGATTCACTATTAAAACAAAAAAACAAAGTAAAACTAGGCTAAATAATGCCCACAACAAAAAATCTGTCTTGTACACTCCTGCACTTTATCTGCTTACTGTCTACACTTTCCACTTTTAATGTTTATTTTGTGATTTTTGTGTGTGTGTGTGTTTATTTGTGGACGTGTGTTTGCTGCCTTTCTTGGCCAGGTCACGATTGTGAAAGAGGTTTTGATCTCAGTGGGTCTCTTATCTGGTTAAATAAAAGTAAAATAATTTTAAAAAAATATCTGTAGCTATACTTAATGGTGAAACTTTTCTTAAAACCTGTTGCCCTTGTTAAAATGCATATTTGTTATGTGTAAATACTTGTATATGTACACAGATTCTGATTCTGATATTAAGCTGAATATTTTTGGATGGTTGGCAGGATTAAAAAGACATTTGAAGCCGTCATCTTGGGCTCTAAAAACCTTTGATTTCTCACCTTTTGCTGACATTTCAATACAAATGACAAACTGATAAATTGAGAAAATAATTTGTAGTGGCATCGCTGCCTGTGTGCTCAGGACGCTGGAGCTGAAATGTCCTGAATCAACGGATTAAACCATCACTGACTTTGATTTACAACCTAAATGTTGCATTCTCGTTATTCACAACATAACACACAACAAGGTGTTCATAAAGCTTGAGGTAGAAGTGACCACACTGGGGTCTCGCTGCTGGATACAGACAGGTTATATTGTGTCATTTGAACCTGAGCTGAACTTGTTTAGTTAATCCTAATTAATCCTGTGATCTTTAACCCCAGAGGCTCTCAGGCTTAACCGCAGTGGACCAGTGGCCTCAATCTGAAAATACTCTGTTTACTGTCTGCTAACAGACAGCCATCGCGACTAATATTCCCAAGAACCAATCAGATGTTCAGGGACATTTAAGGCAAACAACACCGGGACTGTAAATGTAAACAAAGGAAGGGAAAAACACACCGATCAGAAGGAGCTTCTTCCAGCATTTGTATGAATTAAGGTCAATTAGTCATTTTGGCTCAATAACATCCCCCCAAATACTGGGCTTAAACTAAAGTAGTGCTTTTACAAATATAAACAGATAAACTCCATGGTTGCACATTTCGTAGAACACAGGATGCAGTGTCCAAAGATGATTGCTCTGTAGTGTCTTTATGGAGCTGACTTACATCCAGACTTTGGGATCAACTTGTTTTTCCTGTTGCTACAATCTAATAAAATTAACTAACATGGATGTGAACTCTTGCTAAACTGTCTGTGAGCAAATGACATGCCTTAAACTGTACTGACTACCAGCCCTGGATAAATGGTATCCAGAATCACCCAAGAATTCACCTGGAGCCACACTGGACCTTTGTAGTCCAGTAGAAACCACAGTTATACAACAGAATCTCAGTGGTGGCCTCAGCAGAGCCACATCCAGCACCCAGTGGGATCCACCAGAATCCAATATTTACATTTAAGGGGGACCGTGTGAGTCCACCTTTTATATAGATAAATAAAGAAGATCCACTAAATTGCACAAGAAAAAACCGACTGCACCAGAAATGTAATAGAGTTGGGTTCCTCTACAGTGATGTCTATGGAGTTCTGTAGCATCTACTAGAATCTGTGAGGTATTCTTATGATTGATAGTGTTTACGTCTTGTTGCTTGATTTGTTCAGCTTTGATTACTGCTCCTGCATCCAGGGTTTCTTCAGCACAAATAGCTAATCCTTTAAAATCCACCAAATGCACTAAGCTTCACTGAAAACCTGTTAGAATTTCTAATTCTAATAGAATCCTCCAGGTTCTAGAGGAATCTCCTGTCATCAGTGTAGACCTGTACTAACCCTTGAAACTGCAGAACCCATTGGTGGGTTTTTTAAAAATCCCAAATCATCAAGGCCAGAAACTGTAAACACAGAAGGAATTGTTGGATTTTTACCTTTCTGATAGATTAAAATAAGCATTAATGACAGATTTTTTTTTTCCTGAAAACTTAACCAATTCTTAGCTTAAAGTTGTGATATTTTATCAAAAATAACTTTATTCTACATGTCGCATTTCAAATTTGGTAAAACAAAAACAAACAAACAAAAAAAAAACAGTTTTCCAAAACCAGATTCTGTAAAAATCTTAATGTTTCTTCACTCACTGGCCCAAACATAAAAGCATTAGTTATTCAGTTGCAGTCACTGGACAAAAATTCAGAGCTTACACAGAGCAAACAGGAGACAAAAATGAAAACGTAAGTAGTAAAATATCTATAGTATGCAGAGCCTGCATTTTTTTTTTTAGTATTGGTAACCCTTGTTGGCACAAAGTGCTGTACTTGTTGATTCCAGAGATTTTTAATTTTTGTAAAATAATGAATCGAAAAAATTTCACTTTAGTTTTTTCATTTTTCCAAATAATGATACTATAATTGTGCCATACTGAACTGACATTTTTGAGCTCTCTCTACTTCTAGTCATGGTTGTTCTGTTTCCATAGAGGGGCAGAACTTTATATGTGCAGTGCAAAATGAGCCCACAGTGAGTAAAAATGTGACAGTAGCAGCAAACATCTAGAAACTCTTAGAGCTCAGAGGGTTAACCTGGAACCACTAACTAGAATCTGATGGAATCTACGAGAGGACCAAAGAATCTCCAGCGCTCAGCAGGATTTACTGGAAATCTAAAGACTCCCAGCAGATGTGGTTCCACTTACTCCACCACGGCGCTGCTGGTCATGTCCAGGTAGCGGGTGCTGATCCACTGGATCTGGAACCAGTCCCGGTACCCAGTGTTCCCACAGCACTGGAACTGGATCTGCAGCATGTCCACGGTCCTCTTTAGGTAGCAGCGGCCCGGCGTGTCCGTGTCCTTGTAGTACCGCATGGCGTTCCTCAGGCCCAGAAACAGGGACTCCTCCAGCTGGCTGCGGATGCTGTAGCACATGAGCGCCCCCGCCAGGACGCAAGACGTGAAGAAGAAGGTGCAGATGATGTATGGCATCATCACCAGCTTCCAGCGCAGGAACTTGTTGGTGTCTGCGCAGTCCAGGCAGATCTTCCCACCGAGGTAGTTGATACAGCAGGCTGCCAGGCCCGTGGTGATCAGCATGTGTGGCACGTAGAGGGTTCCCTGCTCTGACATCACCTCCGCCCATTTCTGGATCTCTACTTTGAGGAACAAGCCGAGGGCGAAGAGGGTCACTCCGGTCACCACAGAGATCCAGTTGAGCAGCCAGAGCACCTCGGCTAGCTTCTCTCTCTCCGCCTTGCTGAAGGTCACCTTACCAACCGCCATGTCGGTCCTATGGTCTGGAGGTGTCTCACGTCCAAAAGGCTGCGAACATGGTCAAAAACTGGAGGGCTTTATGGTGTAGAACTGCTTACGACCACTAGGTGCTGCATTGGACTCTTCTCTGGTGTCGGAAACATTTCTACTTCTTTGCACAAATAACCTACATTACAGAATCACTCAATCCCTCATTTCCTCCTTAACTTGGATCCAGGTTGGTTGTTGGACTCTAAGTTTCTGGTGAGGGAATTTTAAGGCTGCACCTCATCAAATACAAATAATTGAAATACTCTAGATGTCCTGTGTTTCCTAAATTAATTTGCGAAGATGAAGGCACCAGAACAGCAGCGAGGTTTAAAAGTTATGGTCTGCTGTGTTGAGGGGGTGTTCTGTGGGTCAAACGCTGTGACTGGTTGGATCTTTCTGATCATTCTTCATTTGCATCAGTTCATTTATTTATACAGTCCAACATCATAAATCTACACCAGGAAACTTTACAGTACAACATCGTCTGTCCTGACCCTAGATTTGGACGAGGAGAAACTCCAATAATTTGTACGTTTGTGACAAATCACCAAACTCAAGGCATTAAATCGTCTTGTCATAAAGGCGACGTCATCATTTGCTCGTACGCCCGAGTGGCAGGCCTCACGTCCAGGTCAGACGGGCTCAGAGGTCAGAGGTCAGGGTTCAGTGTGAGGAGGAGGAGGCTGGTGGCTACAGAGTGTCATAAGGAGCTTAACAAGGTATTTTAGGCACTCCTGACTGTAGTCCAACAACTCCAAAGACACAACCAGCGTGTGACCACTGCAGAGAAAGAAGAAGGTCAGAGTTTAATAAAACTGGTGCTGATATGTGAAAACGTAACCATCATCATAACAGCGGTTGTGTGTACATTACCCCATCGGTCAGAGTCAGGTCTCAGTCAGAGGAATCACATTATCACATCTATCCAGTTCTCTATAACAGCAGCAGCTACACAAATAGTTCTGACCAGTAGCTCCAGCAGTGAAACAATCTGATTAACCTAAGCACAGTTCACATATTACAAATTCAAACATTTCCTTCTCTGTTGTTCTCTCAGTTTTTTAAATCTCAGTTGTCTGATTCATAGATTTATTCCAGTATTTCAGACGACTGTGACTGATGTTTTTCTACTTTATGTTTAAATTCTCTCCGGACACACTGACTTTTTCTTTTGTTTCACATAAAAAAATGCAAACAAAGATGTGCGGACGTGAAAACGGTGCCTCGGATCCACTCATCCAACCGGCCTACGCCTCACTAAAGGTAAAACAACAGACAGAATTTTACCTTGCTGCCTTAAATGTGTCGGACATCTAACTCCAGCTGCCGGTCCGTCTCCCCTCCGACCTCCCACCATCCTCAGGCAGGGTGACTGCTGCCACAGGTAGAGCCATGGAGCAAGTAATATTGCGGCTGAGAAAAAGGAGTTTTGAAACGCCCCGTTAACTTGCCATCCTGTGCTTGTAATCTCCTTACAGCTAATCAGCCTTGTAATAAGCTGTGAAAGCTCCTGCCCCCCCTCATTCAGCCAGCTGGACCATCAGCAGAACGCTGCACCAGAATGCATCAGCTCAGTTAAAATAATGATGATTTATCTTTGTTTGTGAAGCAGAGAAGAAGACGGAGAGATACAGAACAGTACATTAACAAAACAGTATTTCAGAGCAAATATGATTCAATATTAAACACAGTAAACTGTGTAGTGTTGTGGTCACACATTGGAAAAGAACAAACTACGATTTGTAGCGAGAGATTTTTGATGTGGACATTATTAACAGTTGTTTTTATACAGTCAGCATGTAAATTTAAACTTTTTTTCCATTCACTTCACTAGATATCATCTGTAATTTATCTAAACAGGCAAAATCTGTAAAAAACAAAACAAAACAAAACAAAACAAAACAAACAAAAAAAAACATTAACAACAACAAAACAGTTTTAATAACTATCTGCCATTTTCCAGTCCTTAATACACACCATTTATCTTTCAAATAACAGCCAGTGTCAGTAAATTAATTGTAGTTTTTGCTGATTTAAATGCAGTAGTACATTTTTATTATCTCAGAGTCACGCATAGTAAACAAACAAATTACCATTTCAATGAAAGCAGATTTTTGCTGTGGATATTATTTGTGGCTTTGTTTGTTTGTTTGTTTGTTGTTAACAGTTAACATATAAATAATATTTTTCTGTATTTTTCCTACTTATTATAATATTACAATCTAATTATATATTTTTAATAATACCATTATCTATACACCGCTTAATCCTCATTGCAGAGTGAGTGAGTTTGCTGAATGGGGCTCAATGCTGATTTTTTTAAAAGAAATGTTATCTCAGAAGGCATTTGATCAAGCAAGCTCAAATTTTATAAATATACATATTATATCCATCCATTATCTATACATTGCTTAATCCTCACTAGGGTCGTGGGGGGCTGGAGTCTATACCAGCTGATTTAGGATGAAGGCAGGTTCATCTGGACAGGTCACCAGTCTATCATATATATATATATATATATATTATAAAAACCAA